CTTTCTTTCTTTCTTTCTTTCTTTCTTTCTTTCTTTCTTTCTTTCTTTCTTTCTTTCTTTCTTTCTTTCTTTCTTTCTTTCTTTCTTTCTTTCTTAAGAAAGTGTCTACATACCTGCGTATTTTATCTTCCAGATCACCTGAGCCATCTTGGGTGTAGCTGCCTTGGGATACAAAATTTGTTACTACAACTCACCTAAAGCTGCGTTCTTCACTATACCAGAAATTGTCATCCCTTTCAGTCTCTTGGCATTTCTTCATATGGAGACACTCCCTAGTCTACTTCTGTCAAATGGCCTAGTTTAGCAGAAACACCTTTTTAACTCAAATCGTGTTGACAGAATGAGGGTAAGTAGCAATTACACTTGCAGYTGCCCTGACAGATGTGCAGAGCAACACAGACATTAAGAACATCCAGCCAGGTAAATGCTGGATACAAATCTCCAAAGCCTCTTTGTTTTGGATCTGTTATTGCCATAATATATATATTTTTGAATCATAGCAGTCCAGTTGATTTAAGTGACAAAACAAACAAACAAACAAAAAGCAGTAATCCTGTCTACCTATTTACTATTTCCACAAATTAACTCATAGCAGTTCCATTTCAGCTACATTATGTTTGCTTAAGATCATATTCAGATGCTATTTGCAGCATGGTCAAAAGGTTTTGAAAGTTGCCTTCAAGGACAGTTGGCCTTTCCATAAGCTGCATCTTCTCTATTACCCACTCAAACTCTTCTAGTAGCTGCCTAATGTTACCATATTTCTGATAAGTGTTCAGTGTTTTACAGCACTCCTTACAGTGAAGAAAGGCCAATACAGGCTTCTGATCATTTCTTAAAAATCAAGAACAAACAGATTCCACATTCAGTTTTGGTTCTACATACACAATCTAATCTTGATGCAGGTGACATTGACTTGCTGCTTTTCTGCTCAACACACAGTATTTACTGCTGCATGTCTGTACAGCAGTGACTGTGGCTTTCTGCTGATGCTCATGCCATAGAGCTCAGTGGAACCAAGCATATACTGGAAAATAAAAATGGGTGACGTAGTATCAGCAGAGCTTAAAGCATTTTACCCCATGTGAAATGGTGGTGTGGGATAGCAGGCTGAGGAAAAGAAGTACTTTGCACTTTGAATTTCCTCCTTATCTTTGAGCAGAGCTTGCATGTGTTGGACTGTGCCCAAGCGCTTGTCCCGTGGACATTGGCGCTGGTTCAATACTGTGCAGTCTGTCCTGTAGCACAGCACAAACACACAAAAACCACACACCAAATTCTGTGGTGGGAATCCAGTGAGTCACAGCTGAAAGGTGTTCCTGCCTTTTATTGGCAGCTAATTACCTTCCAAGTTGATGCTGGCAACTGAAGCTCAGGTGCTTCTCTTTTTCAGGCTCAGGTGGCCCACGTTTTCAAGCTGGCCTCTGAACTCTTATGCTTTCACTTGCTCTGSCATGTGTTGTTGGTATGATTTCTGAGCCTATAGTTCATAGATGTTGGATTGGGATGATCCAACCTCAAAAATATGCTTAATACCTTATAAAASACTAAATTCTCTCTGTCGCAGTCCTATAATTTAAATACCATGCAAGTACAGAATACTTTCTTATTATAAATCATATTTTTTAAGAAAAATTTTGTCCAAATTAA